GGGCGCGGGGGGGGGGTCGCCGGCCCCCCGCGATGTGTAGACGAGCCGTGGCGGACTTCTGAGGACGGCCGTTGTCCGTTGCTTTTATCTGAAGAAAAAAAAAACGAGCAGAGATTATTCTCTGCACAGAAACACAGCTTCAAAGATCCCGACTCGTTGGTTCAACTTCCTCACAGTCAGAATGTCGTAGCTCCCCGCGCTAAAGGCTTTGCGCGACGACACCACCGCCGTCTTGGGGTCAATGAAGAACTTCCCTTCCTCGTTCCCGTCCACGATGCTGTAGGAGAGGTCGCCGTTTGGACCCTCGTCGCGGTCGTAGGCAAACACGCGGTAGATGGGCTCGCCCTTCTTCCTGCGCTCTCGCTCGGCGAGTTTGACCTGGTAAACCTTCTCTGGGAACGTGGGCTTGTTGTCATTTTCATCCAGGACTTGAACCATCACCCACACTGTGGTCTGTCTGGGACTGGGTCCACCGTCCGACACCAACACCTTCAGGGGCAAACAGGGTTGAAAGTCAGAAAAAGATTTTGATTTTGAGACTAAGTTTTCTAACGATATCGGAATTCGGCTCGTTGTGAGTTTGCAGATTTCATTGGAAATGACCGGCATTTATTTTCGTTACGTCAGAGACATCTCGGATTTCACTGGTCTGATTATAGTTTCACATTTGAGAGGATCAACCATGAACTGTTTACGGTGCCGGAGAGAATCATAATAAAATAGGACGCCGTATCTCCAGGTTTGATACGTTTACTTTTTTTTTAATAAAAAGAAATATTCGTAATAAAATGGAAAGAAAAGGAAACTCTACACTTTTATACCGCAGCCAAAGCCCCCTGCAGTATCTTAGAGATATATGAACATTCCATACAGCGCAAACATAAAAATGCCATTTATAGTTTGTACCCAACCCGATGGGATAAACAGAGGAGAGAAAAACAACTGCACAACAAGACGCATCGTGAATAAGAAACGGCAGCGGCTGCAATTTACCTGCAGTCGAGACAGAGCAGCGGAACTTGTTATTACTGTCTAATAGAGACCAACACACACACACACACTAACACAAAGACACCATCCATGGACCATTTCTATCACTGAACTTATGCAAACCTGACTGAGGAAAACAGAACAAATGAGTCTGGGATTCTCTTCATTTCATTCTTCTCACACACCTTCAGTCTCTTCTAAATCTGTGTTTTTTTTACTCCATAAAACCTTCAGTAACCAGACCCTAAATATGTCAAAGAATCACAAAGAATTCATTATCCAGATCGTAAGCTTTAAGTCCATTGGAGACCTGACCCCCCCTCGACCCCACCCTGGATTTATTCACAGGTTTATCTGCTGTAGTGTGAGTATCGGAGCAGAACAGTCACATGACTGTTTTCCTTCCAAACATCACCATGACTACGACCACTCCTGATATGACACTGAGATCTTCCATATTTATCACAGACACAGTTTCTTGGCTGCGTTTCACGTGTCTGGATCTTCGCGGACGAAGACGACCACGGCTGACCTGTCTTACATCGTACGTGACAGAAACAGCAGCTTTAATCCGAACAGAAACAAGAAACAAACATGGTCGACACTCGGAGCAGCTGTGGTTCAGTGGAACGGTCGACCTGACAAGGTCAGAGATGAAACGTTCGGTCAATTTAATAAGGAACAATCTAACTTCATAGCTATATTTTTTAGATTATATGTTTTTCAATAACTGCACTATAGCATTAGATATAAACTTGCGATGACCGATCGGCCGACCGATTTTATCAACCCAATACTAGCACAATTATGTTTAAGTTTTTCCTCTGATAATAAAAACCCGATAACACAATACCTGGGTTTCACCTAATGATGTGTGACCTAAAAATAGTTTTGGGGAAAAACGGCTGTATATGAAGGTGAAAGCCACTAGATGGCGGCATTTCAGCTCATTTTTTAAATCTGATTCAATGAAAAAAAGTGTTTGTTGAAGATGAACCTGTTGAGAAATTAATACAAAATAATTTTTTTTTTGGGTCAGCAGAAGTTTAATTTAATTGTCCTTTAATTATGTTACCGTGGGAGTGATGTCACACATATGGAGGTGTTGATGGAAGCAGAACTTTGACACAGACTCACCTCTAAAACATGCTCCGCCTGCTGTTCACGGTCCAGTTTCCTGGAGGTTGTGGTAATCAGACCTAAGACAGAAACCAGAAGAGGAAACCATTACAACACACACACTTACACACAAACACTTACACACACACAAGGCCTGACGCACGGTGGCACCGAGCCAAATGAGCAAAGTGACACGGCAATTAGTGAAGTGGATGTCGGACACGATGACTGACTTGCTGTAATCACATGAAGAGCGGAGCAGCTGCAGCAGCGACGGCCGCTGATGAAGGCTCCAAATTAAGACGGGACCGTGGTCGGAGACGAGATCGGAGTCGTCAAAAGACACAGAGAGAAACACAGGCACGCTCACAGCCCCGGTGGTCAACATAATTAGTAGCATCACTTTCGCCCCAAAGGGGGGGGTAGGTGGGGGGGGGAGGGCAGGAAGTCCAACGCCGTTCAGGATTACAAACAAAACCATGCTTTGGGGCCATGAATATTTTATTGGAGCGGGGAATCAGGCATCAGGCTATCAGCTGTGGAGTGAATCAAAACTGCAGAGCCATGTTTAATTAACGCGGCGCTACGAAATTAATGCGAGAGCCCCAAAGTCAGGGATGCTCCGTGGTGCATTTTAAACAAAGGGTTCATCTGCAAACGTTCACTCCGTTTAGTCACATCTTGTAGTCATTAATAACACAAGGCCGATTTCCAAGTTTTTTTTTTTTGTGTTTTTTTTTTGGATGTGGTGTCAGATGAGGTTAACAGTTTTAAGCTGATACTTTTGGCTATTCTACAAAAGTTTGAGATGAAACATAACACCTGTGGATTTTTGTCTTTTTTCATATATAGCATAAGAATTAGAGAATTAGATCAGGATCTGCAGCCTGCTGACGACAACCACACTCCTCAGGTCACAAACTTATTTCATTCTTTGACTCTGTTCGTGAGCCCAAAAGTTCATGACTTGTATTAATTTTTCCCATTGTAATTAATGTATAAATCCAGTGAATCTGCTCTTTGGTCTAGAATTTTTTTTAAATATTTTTTTGCTTTATAATACAGAAATAACACCACTTTTCCTAACAGTGTTGTTGCTGCGGAGTAAGTGCCTTAGCAGCTCATGCAACGCTTTGACCACCGGGTGTCTCATGCGCTCCGGTGAGCAGCGTTAGTAGCGGCGAGAATTCCTTTTTTTTTATGCGTGTGCGTGTTCGTGAGTCAAAGCATTTGAAAATAGTGTTTCTAGTCCGATTTGTTCATAAATAAGGATGTTGGTGACCTGTGACTGTATGTAGCCTTTTTTTTTGGATTATTGATCGTACGTTGTACACAGGGCAATGTTATCGTACAAATTCGTACACAGGGCAATGTTATAGTACAAATCGTACAGACTCAAATATTGAAGAAAACACAAAACGCAACAAATCACGTGAACCTTTCTGGTCACACCCAACGTCACGTTTTCCTAGAAAACCTGCAGTATTTTCAACATTCCTTGAAGTATACTCAGGAGCAGTACGTGTACAATTATCACCCATCGACGGTGGTAATACTAACATCCTTTGAAATGCAAAGCATGAAACCCCCAGGTTTGATATTTACTGCTTCATGTTATTGGCTGTAAAAACGTCCTGCTGAGCGTAAACCAAACACATAAAAATAAAGAACGCCACCTGCTGTCCTTGTTTACAGCGCTAACAGTGCGGAGTTGTGTACATACAGGAGGAGAGCGCTGCCGTTTCAGCATTCTTCTGTTTTTAGTCAGATGATGTTTGAGGACGGGAGTGGGGGGGCAACAAGAAGTTAAAAATGGAAATGTTTTTGTGCAGGAATAAACGAGGACAGGTGTGATCGTTAGCCAGTTACATGAGTTTTCTGTCTTAAAGCGGAAGTACACGCTCATCCTGCAAAATCACATTCAAACTTTCAAGACTTGACCCACTTTCAGAAGATCACAAAAATACATTTCATCTTGTTGATTTTACCAATGTTTCTACAATTTCTGTTTATTTATTTATTTATTTATTTTACCCTCTTGGTCACAAGTCAACCCTCATTAGCAAACGATGCATAATTGCCCAAGAAAAACAACCAGTAGGGGGCACATTTGCAGCCAACAACTTGGAGATCTACTGATAAAGCCCAAAGAAGAAGGGAGGCTAAGGTTATTAGCAGAGTTAGCTTCACTTAGCCTAACTGGCCAAACTGTACATGTGATTGTTTAAAATCACAAAGGGAAACACTGTGTGCTGCTAATGCTGCTAACAGGCTGCTAACAGGCTACATGCTAATGCACTGAACACATACGCTGGAGCAGATATTCATGAGTTAATGGATCAAATGCTAGTTTCAAGTTTCCCTCATTAGCAAACGATGCCGTCTCTGCAAATTACCTTTGGTAACAATGTAATTAGATTAAAAAAAACAAAAACAAAACTGATTGGATACTGGCAGTGATTGACAGCTGGAATGTTAAACAGACGCTGGGTTTCTAGGCTGCATTGATGTGTCAATCAGAAAACTGTAAACTCTCAGGTCGTCTCGCATCAAGTTTCCCAGATGCCCCCTTATGTTCAGGGAAGGAAACTTTCACATTTCCACTGCTTCATACGACAAAACGCTTTACAACATGGTGTGTGTGTGTGTGTGTCTGTGTGTGTGAGAGAGACAGTTCAGGTTACATGGAGACTATCAAGGGCAGATGAAGGATTTAATGAAGTGCAGGAGCAGATGTAACATGGAGAACAGTGACTGGTTAAGAGTTTCTCCATGTGAGTTTCACATCTGCGATAACGTTCTTTTTCACTAAACAACCTGCCTCAGTCCTCGACAGTCGTCTGCTTCTACGACATCGTTAACATCTGTGGTTCGGGTTTAAGGAGCCGGCTCCAAAAAACACAAATAATCAGTAATGATGTTTATTTTTGGTCCGACGTCGACGTAGAACTTCACCACAGCTCAGTTAGGTTTAATTTAGCGAAGAGCTGGTGCTGCACCGAGCCGTTCCCCACGTCACGTCGCAGCGGTGTTAAAGTGGAACAGTCGATGGAGTCTTTTTGTCAACACTGTCATAAAAATGTAGGCGCGATCTTCAGATCTGCTCCTCGGGGGACAGCGCGGTGTTTCTCCTCACCTCTGAACTAACACAACCTTTTCAGAAAAATCACTTGGAATTCAAAGAGACGAGGAAAAGAAAAATATTCAAGTAGAAAAAAAGTCAAGTTTTAGTGATAAGAAATTTTAAATATGAAGGTTAAACATTTCAATTATAAATGCAGCATTTTTTAAAATAAATTTGATATTCTATAATTTAGTAACGATAAACCAAACTGTTCAAATCCTATATTTTAAATTTTGAAAAATTCAGCAGTTTCTTCATTTATATCACAGTATCACATACATAAAAAACAAACTCCTACATTAATCCTTTGGACCAAAAAGGGGGAAACTGTGTGGTTAGAGGAGGAAACATTATTTTGTATAACCATAAAATAAAAATGTTATCAGTATGTGATTACAGCGGTGATTTGTCGCGGCCTGAGAGAACGCTAGCACATTATCGCAGCAGATAACATCAAAACATTAGTCACTCTATATTTGAATGGAGAAGATAAGACACAAAAAATACACAGACTGCATTAAAAATGATAATCATTTGCAGCCGTAGCCGTTGAACAGGGGTTTTATCTGGACGTGAGTTTCTTTTTTTTTCTGGATTATTGATGGGTCAGAGTCAGTAGAACAAAGAGGAGAACTGTTTAGCAAATAACAGGGTCAGAGTCAAAAAGTTCTGATACAGTAGTTTTTGGCTTTTACATCATATTTTGACCATGAATTTCTCTCTTAAACTGGTTTTTGTTATGTTTAATGTTAATTTTTCAACATGAATCAAACATTTTTTAAATCAATTTTTTAATATAATTTAATTTTGGTAATCAATTACTAGACACTTCAGGTGACCCCATTTGAAATCCAGGCGACCTCACATGGGGTCACGACCCGGAGGTTAAAAAAAAAGCAATCTAAAAATGTCAGTTAAAATCAATGACAGTTTGATTTAATCCAGCTCCAGATTCTTGTGACGGTGGAAAAAAGAGAATTTTAAATTTATTTCTGGAGGATATGTACAGAAAAAGCTTTGTTCTGAATTCAATTTGTTGAAGAACTCTGTATGAGCCGAGACTTGAACTGCAAACCAACTTATTAAGTGAGGTGTGAACCTGACCACCGTTCATCGGACACGTCCTCCGAGGGCCGTCTCTAAACCTAAACTGTTGATTGTTGAGTCTCAGAAGGCTGTGACGAGTGTTTCTACTCTGCTGTCGTTACGTAGCCACCGCTTCTGTCGACGGCGTTCATTTAAAGCGACGTGAGCGCGACTTCATACACTCTGAGTGTTCCACTTATGAAACGCAAGCTTAACTGTAGGAGAAAAGCTACTGACTAATGAGAAAACAACTGCTACGTCTGCTTTATTAGGCAGCCAGGCTGACACACACACACACACACACGCAGCAGCTGACTGGGTGTGGGGGGGCGGTCATTAGCACAGACACAAACACAAAGTGACAGCACTCAACAGCTACGCCCTGTCACACAAACACAAACACACACTGAGAATTAAGACACACACCTACACATTTTGTCAACATCTGAAAATCAAAAAATAGAAACAAAAAAAAACAAAACAAAGAAATGAATGTTAAACACGTGTACGCCACAGTACCATCGATGACCAGCGTCCACAGCATCTGGACTCTGAAAAAACATTCCTATCTATAAATATATAACGAAGCCGTTTCTAAATTTGTTTTTTGAGAAAAGACAAATTTCACTGGAGCTGCGATGATGTCATGACTTTCACCAGGTTTCCATTTTGATGTTGCCTCTGGTTTCACATGTCTGTGAAGGTTCTCGATCAAACAGGTCATTTTATCTTCAACTGGACAAAACTGTCAAAAACCAGGACAGTCCAGTTGGACATGTCCAAACTCCTCTGGACTCTGATGTCAGAATGTTATCATTTCATCCTGATCAAAAACATATAAAGTTGTTCTGATCCCCCGGAAAAAGTCCG